TTTTGTCATTGTGTGAACACTGCCCAGTGTGCTCACTGGAACTGAGACGGTGTGGTCCACCACACACCAAGGCTCTGGACATAGTCCTGCCACAGAGGCAGCCGGTCGCTGATGGAAAGGTCATAATGCAATGCACTGCTATTTACAGGCTTGAGTTTAGGTAACTTGGTTTCAGAGAAGAGTTTCTTCTGTGATTTTCACTTACCACATAGAAAATAACGCTTCCCACACTCAGGCAGAGTGGATCTGTAACTCTCATATTTTTAACTTTTTGAAACAGAGGCTTGCTCTATAATCAAGACTGGCTTTGAGCTCACCGCAGTCCTCCTGCCTCAGTCTCCCAAGTGCTGGGATTATAGGCTGGCTCTCTAATTCACATCTGTAAGTGTCACTGTTACAAATGAAAATATACATATATATGTATAACAAACAATTAATATTCAATGGTCAACAGAAACAAATATAAACGTGTATACATCCCTTTCTTAAAGGAGAAATAAACAGGCATAAAACTGTGAAAATTAGGATTTAAGATCTGAGTAAATACAACTTGATAATCCGATTTATTTCATCACAAAATGTCTTTTAAAAACTAACTTTTTCTATTCTATAATATTTAAAATTACATTTACTATGGTATGAATATTTAAGCAGTTTTGGTCAAGAGGGACAAAAATCAACTGGAAAATGTAGTCTGTGTTAGACAGGCAAGACAGTCGTTGTTAACTTCATCCCTTGGAACCAAATATAAAGAGAAAACACTGTCACACTACAAATGCTTCCTTTCCACCTTCCCATGGTGTGAATACATCACTGACTAAAACCCACAGGCCAATGCAGCTCCAGGACAAAGGCCTTTTACACACAGCTAACACCCCAAAGATGAGTTTTCCTGTGTTGTATCTTCAACACTAATCACAATAATCTAAATACTAAAGTAGCCAGAATTAAATAACTAACTTCTGCGAATCTACAAGTTCCTTTTCTTTATTTAACTTTAATGGAAAACAATATTTTGAAAGTTCAGGTAAGAAATCATCTCTGTCCCCCTGATTGTATTTTTGAACATTTTATGAGTTAGCAAATGCCTTTTTTGCATTTTCCCTTTGTTTGTGTTCAGTAAGCAAAAATGGAAAAGAAACTATGGAGTTGACTGTTATACCTCTGTTCAATAGCATGATCTAGAATGAAAATCCCCTCCACAGTCTCTGCACTCTACAAATAGTTCAGAGTTTGCACACACTTCTACCTAATTCAATAAAATGCTGAGAAATCCCTGCCTTGTGGTCAAGTTAGGAAGGTTAAAATGTCTGTCTAGTAATGAGGTGACAGTGCTATCCCAGAACCTGTAATCCCTTTAAGATTAAATCAGCACAAATATGACAAGCATGTATAATTCTTTATGCCTCTAAGGCTGCTCCAAGAAAGGGAATCTAGGCTGAATACAAGGGCAGATGACGAAGAAGAAAGACAGTCTCATTACTATACATCTCTCCTGCTTCAGGCAAGATGAATATGGCTACTTAAGTAGACCAGAGTAGCTGGGCTGTGTACTCTGACCCTAAGTGCAAACACTCACAAAGCTCTCTCCACTGAAGTGAAGGAATGTCACATAAAAATGTCACATAAAATGTCACTTTTCTATGAGTGTTTGATGGCCTGTGGTTGTGTTTCTCAAGACTCAGCAATAATCATTTGACTAGTTTTTAAATAAGAATGAACTAGTGATTCACACATTATACCCCCAACTCCTAGCTCATGCAGATTTTTGTCTTGGTTTGTTTGTTTTTTAATTTGAGCTCAGTGGATTTAAATACAGCCTCCCCAGCAAAGCACTCTTCAGCATGGTTAGTCTTCATTTCTCGAGGTGGACTTTGGCTCTCTAGAAGCCTGAGTTAGCACAGGTTAAAATGAAAGTAAAGAGACCAACAAAGAGGAGGACGTCTCCAGGAGCTAAAGAGAATGCCGAGTTAGACAAGATGGTGGACGGTCCCATGTCAGAGCAGAGCGCACAGAACGCGCTCGCTAAAGAGGGAAGTTTCTCACTTGCCCTAAATGGGGCTTACTGAGGACGAAGTACAACCAGATACATATTTGAAAAAAGAAACATTCTTTTGAAGGCAATGAATCACTTTAAGCATTTTTAAACAAATTCATTTGATTATATCATCTTTACTGTTCTAAAGAAATAGCCACCGTGGGAATGTTGGTAAGACAGTCTAGCAATATCCCAGGAACATACCAGAGAAAAATCCTAGAACACCATGAACTCAACGGAGCAGCACAAATATTCCTTCAGCCTGGGCATATTTGGAAAATAAGCTTATTGACAAAAATAAAAGAAAAATTCAAGGTTTATGTTTTGGTCCATTTTCTGAATTTTTTCTTTTCTCTCTCTTTTTTTTTTTCTGTCAATGCACTTAATTTGAAATATTATTTGGATAACGAAAACCAAGGGCATTTCTTCTTATGGCTTAGCTATAAAGACACTTAGCTAGAAGTTTAAAGTGATTTGAATAAGAAAGAGAACTCAACAATTAGAGGTGGTTTAACAGCAAGAATAGGATCACTGCTGTATCAACCAAAGACACCGGATTCCACCTCTGTGAGTGAGAACCGCCATGCCGCTGGCTCAGCCGAGAGCGTTCCTGAGAGGTTTGTGCGGCTGCTGACCTGAGTCTCAGAATGCCCATTTCCATCATCTTCGTCCTTAGCTTTTCAAATGCAATGTTTATTACTGTGTATTTGCGGTTCACGTTCTCTACGTGGCAAAAATGTTGCACTGTTTTTATAGCCTTAGAAACAGATGATCAACAGCATTGGGAAGGGATAGAATTAGCTGGAGGGAGGTCAGCTGCACATACTATACCCTTAAATGGGATGTTTCTCCTTGTTTCTTATTCCCAGTTGCACATACTAGGCACTCAGATGGGAGGTTTCTCCTTTTCTCTTATCCCATAGTGTCTCTTCTTAATTCTTCAGTCACCTCTAGGTAGCAGTGTTCCAGAAAAGCATTGCTCACTTAGGCTAACCAGAGTCAAACAGTGTTCCTAGCATACAGCAAAATTTCAAAATTCTCCAAGACCATCTTCAAATCCTTTCTGGAATGCTTGCGTCATCACATCTCAGTTTTATCTACAAACCCCGAAGGTCCCAATTCCCAGCCTCCCAGATTTGCATAAGATGACGAGCACCTATAACTCATGTGATGGTAAAGAGAAAAATCTTGCATATGACGACCTGTCTAGAACTCCAGCTACTCAGGCCTTTCAATTCTCTGTTAGAGTCCGGCTTAAAGACAACTGTCCTGAAGATGACCTTCAGACCTTCTCCAGCACAGAAACAACGCTTTACATACAATGTTAGCGGGATTGAGCTACAAACGCTTTAAGAGTTCTCTGAACTCTGCTCCTGAGTAACCAAGAAGTGGTGGGTGACTTGTGAACTTAAGAATAAATACAAAGGGAAAAAATGGTTTGGAGTCAAGTCAGTGATGTGTGTTCAAACTATTTTAAAAGACCCTCTTTGATTTCAGACATAATAGCACTTAAAATCCGTTTGGGGAGATTCTTGTGGGTCTTCTAACACTTACTATTCAAACACACACACACACACACACACACACACACACACACACACACACACACACTTTAAAAAAAAATCGGTTTCCTCAAAACTCTTCTTAGATTCCAGACTGCCCAACTTGGATTTTCCCCATTTCTAATACCTGTATCTGCCAACTTAGAAACTAGTTTCCCAAATGACTGAACGCGCCTTCAAAAGTCAAGGGCATCCTTTTCATTTCGAATTCCTAGCTCTTCTAATGTGTTTAATCACTTATCATTTACCGAAGTTAATGATTTACAGTGAAAATAAAAACCAATCTTGTGCCTGGTGTCGTTTCAACTCAGAGCTCTGAGTTCTAAGTTTGGTTTTAAGAGAGCAGAAAAATTGGGCGGCCATCCGAGGCACCACTCTGATGTCTGCCGCAGCCTCGGGGCTTTGCAGTAGATTCAATCTGGTCTAACTTGCACGGAAAATTCAGCCTAGAAAAATTTTCTGCAACTACAAAAGCAATCAGCCCCCCCCATCCCCCACCCCACACACAGCTTCTCCTTCTTCCAAGGTAGGGGATATAGAAGCAAATCGAGAACATTCTGGCTGAGTAAAATCCTTAATAAATGAATGGCATTTGGAATCAATATGTTTCTTATTTGCAGGAATGAGGATTCAGAGGTTAACCTAGTGCCTCCCTCACGCCTTGAGCATACAACAAAACCCATTAAAATTACGACCTGCTACTAAAAGGTCGCATTTACTTTAAAGTACAGAGTGTTCTTTTTTAAAATGCCCACGTTTTTTAAACATAGCAAGAACTCAGGGACAAATACTAATCCTCAGGAAACAGGTACACTTGTGTCTTTTGACTGACCTCAGTGGTCAAATGTTTACAAGGTAAAGTGACCTAAACTGTAAAGCATGATTGACAAGGACCAACAGAAGCGCCTTTCTTGGTGGCCTGATTGGTTCCCAGCACCACCAGTGAGCCATCACCTGTAGGTCAAGAACTCTGTCCGTCTCAAACGAGTTTTTTTTTTTTTTTTTTTTTTAAAAAAAAAAAAAAAGAAACCAAACTTTCCAAATAAGCTAGTTCGGTCTCGCCAATCTACATGCAACAGGTGTCAACACACGTCGTCACAGCCACACATCTTTCTGAATGTGATCTAGAGCAGCATGGAGCGGTTAGCGAAGAAACTGAAAGAATCCGACCTCTAAGAGGATTTGAAAAACAAAAACAAAACCAGCCTGGTCCCTAACCCAGCTGATCCCTAGGCGGCGGCGGGGTCAAGGAGTGGAGATGGGGGAATCTGCTCGCTCACCGAGGACATGCGTTGCCCTAGGGGCTCAGGGCACTGCCCCTGCGCTGTCCACGCAGCACCACAGTAAAGCGGACAGAGTCGCCTGGGGCTGGGAGCCAGGGAAAGGAGGGTGCGCGGTACCTGCTTGTCCAGCGCGTCCCGGGCGCCTGCAGGTCCCGCGCTGGTCCTGGGTGGTGCGGGCGTCCGCTCGCAGCTGCAGCCCTCCAGGAGGTACATGCCCGCCGGGCGGCCGCTCTGCTCGCCCTCGAAGTAAAAGAGCACATTCTGGTAGAGAGCGAACCACTTCTCGTGCCAGCGGCTCGCCTCGGCCGCCTTCTTGCTCAGGAAGCCGCGCTTGGTGCCCTCCTTGCGCGCCAGGAAGGCCAGGTACAGGGCGTGCCCCTCGTTGTAGCGCACGCTTTTCTGCATGGCGAGGGCGCGAGGGGGTGTTGGGGTCGCAGCCTCAGCCCCGCGGCGGGGCCATCACGGAGTGCTCTCCCGGGAGGACGCACCCCAGCCCGCCTGCCACAGGGCACCCGGCCCGCCGCCCAGACCTAGTGCGCCGCTGATCCAGGCTGGGGCATCGTCTCCTCCCCGACCGCGCCCTCTCGGGCCCCCGACGCTCCCCGATCCCCGGAAGCCCGGTACCGAGCGGCCCTCCGAGGGCACCCGCACCCGCGCCGCTCCACCCGAAGTTGCGGGAGCCGAGCCCCCAGCGGCGGGCTGCGCAGTGAGGCGCGCGGCAGCCGGAGGACTGTCCTCGGGCAACGCGCTCCGGGAGACAGAAGGTAAAACGTCACGTGGGAGATCAGCTGTAATCGGCTTGGAGACCGATTTAAAGGGTAAAGTCGGCGCGGTGGCGGCCGCGGAGGCGCTGCCTGCTCTCCCCAGCGCGCATCCTTCACTCGCCTGCCAGGACCCTGGCCTCCGCCTCTGCCCAGGCCAACCCCCGATGGGGCAGATCGCCCAGGAGGGGCAGGAGCGTGGTGACACCCAGCCGCTCACAGCAGAAACTCGCGCAAATGTGTCCCCACATACACACAGGCAAACGCATACTGAAGAGACCAGACCCGCACACAAACACACAACGTTCATATTCATACACGAAAGCACACATGCACACAAATACAATAGGCACACGCGCACAAGCGAGTGTGCACTCACAACATAAATTAGCAAATACCCTTTTACCCAATGTTCACGGTCATACACATACAAGTATAACATACAGTCTCGAATAACACACCCCGATGCACACAGATACACATTCACAACTACAAAAATACACTCACTGTATGTGCTTCTCCAAAATCCAAACCCATGAATTTGTACTTACACAGGCCGCTACATATATGTGCATACCTTGGTGCTATCTCAAACACATTCATAGTTATTGTACCCAGTGTATGTATATACACTTATAATCATATGCACATTCACAGAAACATCACACACACACACACACACAAAGAATCATAAACATATGCAAATAAATACATGCCCTCCTAAACCCACTCATCAGATACAAGCTCTTACAGACAGAAAATGGACAGATATGTAGGCACTTAGAGCCACACATTTTTGCAGCCCACCCCATGAGTGAGCATGCACTCACACTCACAAATAGGTTCAGTAGCAGCAGGTGGAGTCACAAGGCGGCTTTGCATAAACCACAATGCTGGCTTTCCAGCTTGTTCCCGAACTGTCGAGTTTAAAACCAGCAGTGGATGTTGATAGGAGAAGTCCAGTGTTCCCAGAAAGCAGATGTGTCAATTCGTTTTGAACACCTGTTAGTTCACGGGATTAAGACTAAAGAAACCAAATGTTACGTATGGAGTTTTAAATAAGGGGGTGGGGGGATAACACTACGAGGGAGACTTTGCTAGCAGGGGCAGAAACTGTCCCCAGAGGCCAAGCTGTCACAGGCTGAGCAGAGTCCCCTGCTAAGACTGGGATTCATTTGATTAACAAACCTTACAGCTACCGCTGGAAAACCAAGATATTCTGCTCAAGCAAAATACAAGCGCAAAAGAAGTGATGTTCCAGATGCTTCGATAGAAAACTGGTGAAATCCCACAGTGCCCTCTTGGATTCTGCCTCACATTCTTTTATTCCCCACAGCCATGTATTAAAATGAGTGGCCAAAAGAGTATTGTGGAAGGAAACAGAATAGTAAAATACTCCTTTCAGGGCGGTGAATTGGTGGTAATACACCTGTCTTGTCCTGTGGTTATGTGCTCACAAATTGATCTCCGCAGGGTCCTGCCTGCTCTGAAAGGGCTATCTTCGCGGAATATTTTAACTCTGCCTCAAACAGCTGAGTGGTTTGCATTTTACTGCCAGGGGAAGCTTCACTATTGACGTCCATGTAACAGGGAAATTGCGCTTTTGAAATGACTGTGGGACAACAGTAGCCATCCTTTTGCATACCTGCATGTAGCTGAAGGGCAGTGTCCTGTGGAGCTGGGCTCAGCCCAGCTGAGAGCTTGCACTGTTATTTAGAGAAAAACAGTTAGGTTGCAGTCCACCCAGTTCTAGAAGCAGGGAGAGGATGAGCACCTCTGGGGCCTTCCTTCCAGCTGCATGCAGCTCTCAGAAGAGGAAACCAGAGGATAACGGAGCAGTCAGAACACTCCAGCTTCAAGCAGAGGCCAGAACGGGTCTCACATCAGAACAAAATACGACAATTTCTGTCCTGAGTGTTCGTACCTGCTGACCTCTTGTGTTCCCTCAGATGTGAATGACTCCTTTCTTCAGTAAGTGCTGTCTCTGACATCCAACTATTCTCCAATGTCTCCTCTGTCTATAGAAATGTCCTTACTTGAGCCCCAGGAGTATTCATTTTTTTTTAATTTTTATTTTTATTTTGCAATACAATTCAGTTCTACATATCAGCCACAGATTCCCTTGTTCTCTCCCCTCCCACCCCCCTCACCTTCCCCCCAGCCCACCCCCCATTCCCACCTCCTCCAGGGCAAAGCCTCTCCTGCAGACTGAGATCAACCTGGTAGACTCAGTTCAGGTAGGTCCAGTCGCCTCCTCCCAGACCGAGCCAAGCAATCCTGCATAGGCCCCAGGTTTCAAACAGCCAACTCATGCACTGAGCACAGGACCCGGTCCCACTGCCTGGTATGTACTCACTCATAGGAGGATACTAGATGTGGAACAGGGATGACTGGACTGCTACTCACATCACCAGGGAGGCTACCTGGAAAACAGGACCCCAAGAAAGACACGGGGATCGCCCAATGACGGAGAAATGGAATGAGATCTACATGAACAGCCTGGACATGAGTGGGGTAATGAAGGGCAAGGGTCGAGGGAAAGAGAGCTTAGGGGAGCGGGAGATCCCAGCTGGATCAACAACAGAGAGGGAGAACAAGGAATAGGAGACCATGGTAAATGAAGACCACATGAGAATAGGAAGAAGCAAAGTGCTAGGAGTATTCATTTTAACCCTTGACTGATCTCACCTTCTACTCTGTGAAGTGCTGTGGGCCTCATTTGCCTGGGAAAATGAAAGAAGAAAAGCTCTGTTTTCCTCCATGTTTTGGTTGATGACTGTAACATAGTTATTGTTATAGTTCTCATATATCTCTCATCTAACCTGTGAGATCTGGTGGAAAAGATCCCCGAACTCCATAACTCCCTGGCCCCTTCAGGAAGACACAGTCCAGGGATGCAGTTTCCAGTGGATGTAAGAGCTGAGGGTCCACAGAGGCCCCAAATCTAAATAACAGTGCAAGCTCTCAGCTGGGCTAAACCCAGCTCAACAGGACACTGCCCTTCAGCTACACGAAGGTATGTAAAAGGATGGCGACTGTTGTCCCACAGTCATTTCAAAAGGGCAATTTCCTTGTTACATGGACCTCAATAGTGAAGTTTTCCCTGACAGTAAAATGCAAATACATTGTGTGTGTGTGTGTGTGTGTGTGTGTGTGTGTGTGTGTGTGTGTGTGTGCCTGAGTGTATGCAAGTGAATGTGTTATGCATGCCTGTATGTGGGTGTGGGTATACATGTAGAGGTTAAGACAACCTTAGTTGTTGGTCCTCAACCTTGTCTGAGTCAGGTTCTCTTTTTCTTCCCCACCACATACGCCAATTTCTACCTTCCATTTCACCAGAGCAGAGTGGCGATTGCAGATGCACAATACCTTGTCTGGCTTTTATGTGGGTTCTAGAGACCCTAATTCATGTCTTCACACGTGCATGGTAAGTGTTTTGCTCTACAGAGCCATCTCTCCAGTCCCTATAGTGGATTTTGATTATGGAAATTCACTGCAACAGTTATTGGCCAGAAGTTTATGTCCTCAGTACTATTCTGGAGTGGTATGGAATGGTGTGCCTCATGCTATCAATATGCTCAATCCAGAGGAGGGTTTCATGGTTAGGAACCATGGTTCTGAGTAACAAAGCTAGCTCCTTAATAAATACAGTGTCTACAGGGAGAGTTTATATGCAGTAAGCGACTAAGTGATCCATAAATATTTCTAGATTAATTTATCCACGGGTTATTGAATTGTTAGAGACAACACCAACATCTCAAATTTAGATCTTTCTGCAAGACTGTAAGGGGTGAAAATGACTAGGAAGCCATAGCCAGTAGTGTGCATCAACCTCTGTGGGCCCTCAGGTCCTCCATCCACTGGAAACTGCATCCCTGGACTGTGTCTTCCTGAAAGGGCCAGGGAGTTACGGAGTTGAGGGTGCTTTCCAAAAGATCTCACAGATTTAGCAAGGGGTTCTGCTCCATGTAGATGGGGACAGGCTCATCCATGCTTTCCTTCTTGCATTTCAGGAATTTTTTTCCTGAGAGGGTCAACTCATGGTGGTTCTTTGAGATCAAAAAGTGTTTCTCACTGATAATTCTGAGAACATTCTATTTGCCCATTTCCAGACAAATTAAGGGGAAAAAAAACCCCAGCATTGAGCTGCCATATCTAGAAACTCTGATTACTATTCCCAGGAAGAGGTACAATTTAGGTTAAGTTCACAAAAATCATGAGGAAGGAGGAGAGAAGGATGAGGAGGCCAGAGGGTCAGAGAAGATAAGAAGAGAGGGGGAGGGGAGAGAGAGGGGGAGGGGAGGGAAGGGGAAGGGAAAGAGTGAGGGAAGGAGAGAGGGAGAGAGAGAGAGGGGAAAAGAGGAAGGAGAAATTTTATCTGAGCTGTCCAGAATGCTTTAGTTGGTTAGTGGGAAGAATTCAGCCTGAGCTTCAGGATTTCGGGATCCCAAACTCAGGTCTTATCTCTTGGGCACAGAAGGGGGTTTTCATTCATTACACCTTTCCCTAAATGCTGTTGTCTGTGGAAATCTGAATGGACTCCTTAAGTTTCTATAAGTGACCTTCCCCTGTGATTCCTGTCATTTAGAAATGGCTCAGCACTGGGGGCTTGGGGGCATGCCTTGCTGTAGGGGTAAAGAAACGCTTCCGTCACTCTCTGAAGGTCAACTGGACTGAAGTGGCAAGACAAACAAATTGGAGAAAACAGTCACACAGTGTAATTACCCACAAGTCCAAAGTGATCCAGAAACTTCATTGGCCCTTTTCTGTAGTAGAGAGGGAAAGGAGAGTTGTAGACAAGTTTAAGGGGCCTGCATGATGACCAGCCAAACAACTGGTCCTAGAGACAGTCACTGGAATTTGAGGGAGCCCAAAGAACAAACAGTATCTTATTAGGAAAGTCTGTCTGGGAGTGGGGAAACTCTCCAACTGACTGGATCCAGATAGACAGGGAGGCTCAGGAT